ATAGATAGATAGATAGATAGATAGATAGATAGATAGATAGATAGATAGATAGATAGATAGATAGATAGATAGATAGATAGATGGGGGAGGGATATTCAAATGGGTAAATTCACAATAAATCATAATAAAAATGCATATAAAACTTAAATTAACATTAACATATGCCTAGGATATGTAGCAGTACAATTTTGGCAGCAATGCAGAAGCAGTTTGTTATTACCTTTTTCAACATCCGTGTCTAGCCTAAAGCTTTGAAATCCTCCCATGGTCATGCCATCCAAATATTAACAAAGCCCCACTATGCTTAGTTCCCAAGTTCAAACAAGTATCCACGTGCTGAGACAGAGAGAGAGGCTTAGGATATTAAGTATGGTAACTGCTGAAAAACTGTTTTTAGTCTGTGGAATTTGAATGTAAAAAGAATACTTTTAAAAGAACAGATGTTCTTTTAAACAAGCCATCACTGTATGAATGTTGGCTAGGTGTCATTTAGTCAGTTTTGACTTTTAGGGCAAATGTTCACAGTTCTAACCTGCCTCTAGAAATAATTCATAGCTCAAATAAAGGAGAATATTTGTAGCTCAGGTTTGAAATGAGGGATCTCTGGTGCTCTCTGAGTTTCCTTGTTGTCTTACAGATGTTTCATTACTCAGACATGTCATTACCCAAACTAGGTAATATCATCAGTACTGATGATATTACCTAGTTTGGGTAATGACATGTTTGCAAGAAAACAAGCAAGCTCAGAAAGCACCAAGGATCCGCTCAATTCATAGCCCCTCTGAAGACATTCCAATCATCTATTTGACATCATATCTGTTCTTCCGTTTCTATCTTCTTTCCATTGCACAATAATTTTTCCTAATGACCCACCGGCAATACTTCACTCATATGCAAGACAATTGTAACGTAAAGTGTAAAGTGAATCACTCCTGATTTTGACCCTAAAATAAAACATTTGTGCTTGTTGATCACAAAAGCATCCACTTCTTTTTGGATCCAGAATGGATTGATAGTTCTCCTTGCAATTCACAGTGTACTTAATGATCATCTCTATATTCGTAATTTGTAGATGTTTATTTTCTTTCTCTCATCCTTTCTCAGTCTAGAGATTTCATGAGCCACCTATTATTACTGGAAATACCATTGTTTTAATAATTCTGCTAAGATATCCTTCATGTCCTTGTCTACATTTGTCATTGTCTTCTATAGGAATAAGTTCCTTCTTATTTCTTTAGTAGGCTCTCTGTCTTTATTCTTGAGCCAAGAAAACCAAAACTATCCCTTTAAAACCTTGACAATCAGTTCCAAGATCACTACTGTACAGGTAGTCCTTGACTTAACTGCTGTTAATGAGAGTTCAAATTTATCACAGCCTTGAAATAAGTGATTTACAACCTGTGCTTGAACTTATCACTATCACACCACCCTCAGGGTCATGTGACTGTAATTTAGGCACTTGGCAACCAGCTCTCATTTACAACCATTTACACATTGAATATACACGCACCTTAGGAATTATCAAATTAAGTTCAACCTTTAAATACTTTTTCTAAATTTCACATTTAAAATGAGGAGTCATATTATCAGATAAAAACAACCTCCCTTGGATTCGAAGTACTTAGAAAATATTCAAGCAGATGGGAGAACAGCAGGAAAATACTCGGCTGGGGGTGTGGTGTGGAATCCTAATTTTTAAGATGACCTTTAGGTTTATTTTTAAACCTGTTCTTTGGAAGTGAACTGAAAACATTTTGCAGGCCAAGGACGCCATCTTAATTCAAATGCAATGCATTCTACTCACCCTGAGCGAAGTGGAGCAGAGCTGCAAGCTCAGCAGGAATTTCGAGCCGTCGGACATCCTAAGGAGAAGAAATAGCAGCAAAGGCCCTAGGTTGGTTTAATTCCCCTCCTCATGTAAAGTGCAGTTTATTTGATTAAATAAAAAATAATATTAAAACGCTCACTTTCATAACAAGCATATACAAATAAATCATAAATCCAATTTATGTGGAAACCATTAACAATAATTTTAAAAGTCATCAACTAGGCAATATGGGAAACAGAGTATAGAATTGCATAGAATTGTATGTACATTCTAAAGAAAGGAGAAAAAAGGCACCTGCCTTAAATAATTTATTTTTGTAGGTGGCCAAATGTCCCAGAAAAAGCACCTTGTTAAACTTCAGCCAATTTAGGCTCTTCTAATAACTTTTTTCCCTGGTTACTTACCAAATTTTCCATATATTTTGGATTCATGGCTTGTAAAACCTTTTTTTTTACATATTTAAAACAGTAGTGGGTTTCCATTTTTTTTACTACCAGTTCTCTCGTGTGTGCATGCACAGAAACATCTGGGCGGGAGGCAAAGCTTCCCGCCGCTGCCACTACCGGTTCACCCAATACAGGCCAAACCAGCAGAAACCCACCTCTGATTTAAAGTTAATTTTAGATTTCCAAACCATGATGTTGACAGTTGCAACATTCGGTATCATATCAGCTGTTGAGAGAATCAGTTCCTATCAAAATCCAGCCCCAGGGATAGATAGACTCAAATGATAAAATGATCAATTCTAAATTGAAGCAGTGTAATCAGAGGTAGATCTGAGCTGTCTCTACCGCATTACGTGTTAGTGATGTTTTTATCTCTATTTCTATATCTATCTACCAGTGGTGGGATTCAAATAATTTAACAACCGGTTCTCTGCCCTAATGACTAGCTGGGTAGGCATGGCTTGGTGGTCATGTGACTGGGTGGGCATGGCCAACTCAATGCTTCACCTTAGCTGTTAAAATGTAATAAGGGTTACAGTTTCTGTAAGCAAGGCAATATATCAGGCTTGTACACCATATTTTCTTTTGGATTTCTGGCCTGCCACACTTTCTATTGTTCTACTATGCATTTTCTATTTTGGGAAAATGGGAGGGGGGATTGTATGGAGTTAGATGCTATGTAGCCATAACAAAATTCTTTCTAGGAAGCCAAGGTCATCCTTTGTCTCTGCACCTCTGCACCTGATCGGAACTGGATGGGTGGAAGCTGCCAACATGGCAGTGGGAGATTGGACCATGGGATGGACGTGTGGGTGTGGGGGCAAGATCTTGAACTTTCAACTGGGTGGGGAAACCAAGAAGCCTTCAGATTCAGTGTTTGAATATCTCAGGGGCTGCCAAAAAGAAGAAGGAGGCAAAGCACCTGAAGGCAGGACAAGAACCAATGGATGGAAATTAATCAAGGAGAGAAGCAACCTAGAACTAAGGAGAAATTTCCTGACAGTGAGAGCAATTAATCAGTGGAGGAGCTTGTCTTCAGAAATTGCGGATGCTCCGTCACTGGGGGCTTTCAAGAAGAGATTGGGCAACCATTTGTCTTAAATGGTATAAAATTTCCTGCTTGAGCAGAGGGCTAGACTGGAAGATCTCTAAGGTCCCTTTCAACTCTATTATTCTGTACACTGTTTGGTTGAAATGGGAT